ATGCTATTTTCATATATTAATTCGGTTCAAGGAAAAAATGAGTTAGAATTGTCGTGATGTCAGTTGCTCAATAGGACCATCCAGGATGTCCTGCAATGTGTCTCACGCAGAAGCCATTGAGGAGTGCAAAAACGAGCTTGTTTATACAACGGTCTCACTGGTCTGCATTTTTACATTGATTTCTTCGAAGATTTAAGCAAGAGTATCCGGTTATGTCGGTAAAATACTAAGCGACACGGATCCAATAGAATAACATCAACATACAGATGGTGTACGTGGATGGCCTGTTCCGTTAACTAACTACGATGTACACGCTGTTCAGTCATGACAGAATACAATTTACTCAGAGTAGAACGGAATAAATGCGTGACACGTCGGCGGATGATAATCGTGACACGACTGATTTGTAATAAAATAAAAATCTAACTGAGAGATTGATGTCACCTACGCGTATTTCAGTTGTTGTGCTTTGTGGTTTTTCAATGCCCGGGGGCGGTAGCAGTTTCGCAGTCATTCTAGTATGTAGAGCCTAAAATTGCGTGTCTCTATGACGTTGCGTCCTCTCATGTTCCTGCATCAAACCAAACAAAATCGGGTTAGAGAAAAAGAAAGGGCATGACATTATTGCCTACATTCGTATTGGGAAGCGTGAAGTTCGAAGTATGTTGTGTCTTCTTCTATTGCTAGTACTTCGCAAGCCGGTTCATTCTACTAGCAATACCTCATCGTAACATATCTGGCATGGTTCAGACGGTACGCTCAGCGACAGTCTCCTTATCGGTTTAGAAAAAACGGTCACGCACGAGAAAAGGGTAACAGAATGATTTTACCGTCAGCAGGAAGGCGGCAACCGTAGCGGCGGTGCCAGTGGCAGTAACAGCTCGTGGCTATTCAAATAATTCGAAAGAATCAAGCATCGCATCGTCATAGCCACCAGCGTCATTACGCCGTGATGGTCCCGTCATGCCACTTTTCTAGGTGTGAGCTCGTGTTCCCGCTCGCTGGTCCTTCTTGAAACTATTGTAACAACAAAAATTAGTTGTTGAAGGTGCAGCAGCAGCACACCTTTAGCAATTGCCGCCACTGATAGCGTAGAAACTCTAGCTTGTAGTCATACCCTGATATATCCAGCCACCCCAACAAGCAAGCGAGCGACTGATGGGTAATCGCTTAACGTTGGGACGCGATTATTGGGCATGACCGTTGCTACTTGAAGCACTTCAATATCATCGCAATGTTGTTGTATGCGGAATGCGGCTAGATTGTACAATAAGCTTCCACAGCCGCTCTCATTCCACCCGTCGTTCGGTGGGCATCGCTCTTTTAGACGCTTAGTCTGTGAAATCTGTCAGTTAACGAAGAGGTTTCAATTAGCGACCCAGCCCTAGTAATTATTGGTCGACCGTTTTATTGTAGTCCATAGGCTTTTCAGGCCGGTATCACCCGCACCGAACACTGTCAGTCCTAGAGTGAGGTGAAAATGAGTTTGATGTCCGTGTTTTCACCCGAAGAGTCGGCGAAGCTGTTCGGAGGAAGTAGGACCAAGCGTTCCTTCTTTGATGCATAATCACTCCATGGACACTCGTAGCAGTTGTCATACTAAACAGCAATTGTAAGACTAATTTTGTGCAAACTCCCTCAAAATGGTCCTACAGAGAAGGAACGCTTGTCACGATTGTATAGTTGGTTTCGTATCGGATTTTTGTCAGAAATCGTTAAATAGACGCTGTCGAAAAAAACTGCCGAGGACAAGCTGAGTGTCACATTCCAGGTCGATCGAGCTCTGATATTATTGCAGTCGTATTTTTTTCTGGGCTCACTAGTTGCTAGGTGCTGATGTCTATATATACGCACTCTTGGCAACTATTGGTCCGTCTATAGATCACGTATATATATGCTGCTTCATTCGGTCGGAATGTCCGTGAAAACCTTCATAGCTAGCGTTAATGCAACAGAGCTTACTAACACAAGTAGACATCGACAAACAAAACATAATTTATAATCTAAAATGTTTTTCCGTTAAATTAAAATGTTTGTTAGCAAGTAATATCACATCATACGAAGAGATAGGACTGCTAACCAAGATGATTATATTAGGTGCGTGGTAATAAAAAAAAACGTGCAGGTCGATATCGTGCGAATGGTAGTGACCAAAGGGATCTTTTGACAAACATCGGCGTTGGATAATTTAGACAGCGTATAGAATTTCTTTTTGAAACACGCTTTTCCTAAAAGCCGTTATTGGCCTATTCTCTATTTGATGCTTTACGAATCCATATTCTATTATTTTCATAGTCGAACGTCTTTCTAAAGCCACTGTCTCCTAACGTTGTTTTGTAGATAGTTCATTGAATATTTCAAGTGGTCATAGGGTCGTTTCCTTATTAAACAACAACAACAACAAAATCCCTGTGTCTGCATATTAAGACTTTTACTTCATACAACAGTGACAATTGTGGCCGCGTTTAGAGTTACTTTGTGGCCCTAAACGCCGTCATAATTGACGTCTCAGGCCTAAGGGGCGGCATATGCTGTGCCTAAACAATACAGAATCAATGCTTGATTTACTGCATTAAAATTGACATTACTTAGAAGAAGTCCGCTGAATTTTTCAACTTTCCTTCTTGTCCAAGGAACAAGCTGTGTATTTCTTTCTTCGTCGTGCGTAAATCTTTATTAACAGCGTCATTGGGGCTATTCTTGACCACAGTAAAACGCTCTGACGTTGTAGTAACTGTCACATCACGTTAAGATGTCTTTCGGGGACTCACTACGTACGTTCTGGAATATGGTATTTTTGTTTCTGTTAGAGAATCAGAAAATGATACCGATGCTTCTCGCAGTGGAAGAACGGTTCAACCTGAACAAACGCGTTGATCAAATCCGAAGGGAGCTTTTCGTCCCACTGCTTAGAGCACTTTCCTTCCAGTGAGCCTACTTATAAATCAGCGTCCATGCGTACTTCGAGGTAGGTCAGCTGAGTGGTCAGCATGGTACCCCGACGCATCCGCGTCTATTTCCTTATTTGTAACTGCATTGCCGCCTATATTGTACATTGTTATCGGCGTCATGGCATGCTTTGGCGTGGGCTAGCGCTCGACGACAGTTCCATCTATACCATACGTTATTGATCGTCTCTCTGCCTCAAGTTGTATTCTGTATAGATGGCTCTTTGTAGGTAACACCGAATAGGACAACGGTTTGATTACCTTTTAAAGAAGCTTATTTTTGGCCCGTTTGATCATAGCTTCGTATTTCTCTATGACAGTATCGCTATCATTATGTGATTCATTGCTCCTTTATCATACCCCTATCTAATTGCTAGCAAGTTCGAATTTGCAAATAGTCAGAATCGTTAATCATAGAAAGGAAAAGAAAGAAATACCGATCGTGATACAAATGTGTAACCGATGATCGCGTACTATCCATTGGATGTGCCAGACGTTGACCTTTAGCCTAGATAGGTAACAGGACTTTGTACAAGCATGGCACGTTTTATACCATGCTCTAAAAGGTTCTATACTGTCGAAACATTTATGCACTGCTATCTCTCTAATAACTTCCTACGAACCGTGTTACATGGTCCTTAAAAATGTAACAGTTCTATAAAACAGTTATAAAACGGTATTACAGCAAAGAAGAGATCCATGAGAGGATTTTACTACGCACGATATAGCGGGAAATTATTTATCTTAACGCCTGAAGGGTTCCGCATGAGACTTCGCGGGAGCGCAGCTATTGTGTATCCATCTGAACATTCTCCATATGCAAAAACACATATTCAACTCAAGCTATCCATCATCGTAGCTTAAAAGTATCTATAATTATAGTAATGATCCACGTAACTATGCGGGAGTCGTTTTGTGATTGCAGAGATCCTTTCCTTTGGACAACGTTATCAGGTCGAGAGTTTTCCTAAAAATAAATTTCTCCTTAGATCTATTTTTCTCATTTATTTACGAGTATAAATAAAGGATGCCTGCATTTAGGTCAATAAGTGCGCCCTTCATTTGCGACAAGTTAGACCAACTTAGCATTTCTTAAAGGCAATTTATTAAAAAGCGATACATCTTTTTGGCAACAGAGACAAGATGTAATGATGATCTATAAGATGTAATTACATAAAACGCGTTAGGGACAGTTACTTGTATAATTATCGCCTTAGTTTTAAAATGAAGTGAGAACTTTTGCCAGCGATAATGTGCACTATGCTTCTAGGCAATACAAAACGGAAGTTTTAAAACAGAAATCTTCGGTGAGTGTTTGCGCCAGTTCAAACTCTTCTGCTTTACGAGAAGACTAGAAAACACTCGATTAATAAGGTGAAAAAACATTGTACGTTAGTGCTTTTTTTTTTTATTATTGTAAAAGAAACATAATAATATCTTTGTTTTTTTTTCATTTAGCATTACAATATTACATTAGAGAATTGAAACCAAGCACACTATAATACATACATCACTGTAGAATTCATTTTTAATTTAACAATTTTCGTGGGCTACCAGCATAGTAAACTGTGGTCAAGACGTATGTGGCTACAGAAAAGATGATGATGATGATCCATTAAACAGGCGTTATAATATACGCTCAGCCATAAACAAAAACGTCTGCACCTAATTCTAATGCTTACCTCAGATTATGATGTACCTTAATTGATTAAATGTAAATTTAGGGTCGAACTTGAAGTTCCAGCTTACAGCGACCGTTTAATGTACAATATTTCAGTATTAATGTAGTTTAATGTATAAAATAATTTTCGTTGAAGCATGGCTGAATTTGACGAGGGTACTTTATTCATTAAGTCAACGTCGGCCTCCGTAGACTATTCAAGGTTATTTTCATGTAAGCCTTAGTAGTCGCGATACCTATCGTTTAACCCTTGTACCTAAGAAGGCTGACGCATCCGTTTTAAATGTAACACAAGATCCAGTTATTTTCCATAGACTTAATAAGCTAACATGGGTGTTTTTGTGGTATCTTTTATTTGCTTCTGACTGCAGTCCTTTTATTGCGGAACAGTTTCGTTGCGACATCCCGCGTGACTTTCACCTGCTTAACATCTACGTCAATGAACGTGAAAAGGTTTCTAATAAGGACAAAGTTATCGGACGGGTGAGCCTTAGTCGCGGCGATATCCTCAAGTTTCACGCCAAAGAACACTGGTTCAACATTGATCCGGTGCGTTATTTTTCGAAGTTTTGAATTTGTACTCTCTTGATGTATCTACCGCTTTTAGATCATGACATTAGGCCGTTCTTTTAGCATACGTTCTCTGGGGCTCTAAAAGTGTTCGAAGGAACAAGATCTTCTCACTTTGACATATGTTCCTCGAGCTGCTTCCGGAGTTTGGTATTTTTTACTGACTATCGTTTCTCGTTGCAAATCAGTTACTAATGAGATAAGTGTTTGAAATTAATCGCTTACGCTGAACGTTGATCTTTATTACAGGTCGACGCTGACTCGGAGGTTCAAGGCAAAATACATTTATTTGTGGCTCTTCAGCATTTCCATGAAGGTCTTCAGTTGTCTACGATTCGACCGGTCTCTATGGTAGAGCTATTTCGAGCCGGTATTGAAACTCGATTGGTGCTTCGCATCGCCGAGTGCTGCGATCTCAATACGGTCCGAGGATACTGTGATCCTTATGCCGTAGTTATACTGTACAGGTTCGTACAAGTGTACATTCCGTAGAAAATAGCGTTAATTAGCCACTTGCTCCGAAATAAAGTAAGCCTTATTCTTTCATAACCATAGCAATACCTTTTTCAACGCAGGATGATGGTACTAACTACTTTTGTGTTGTTTAGAGATGGGGTAAAAGTGGACCAGAAACGGACAAAGGTTTTAAGAAAAACGTCACGACCATCGTTTGAAGAGACATTTGACTTTTTGCTTCAGCACGACTGGGACAGATTTGAAATTAAGGTAAATTTTTCAGCAAGGTTTTTTTAGGTTGCTTGCCAGCATACGTTAATTGTAAAATAAAACAGTTTTATAAATACACTATCAGATCCACACAATGAGAAGGACATCAAGGAGAAGGCTCTTTTGGCTGTGGTCGTCATGCCCTGAGCCAGCTTCTCTGGCTATTTCTCACGCGTCTGCCTGCGCACGGGACTCTACACCGAGAGCTTTTTCACGACCCTCTATAACGATTCTTATGCTTCCAAAACAAGGGAACCACAGTTAGCTCCGACAAAGATTTCGAAACGAACAATAGTATCCGAATTACTCATACACTGCTCGTATAACATAGCGGCATACAGCCGAGTCGGGCAGGTGAATCAACCAACGCCAATTTAGAACAGTCCAGCTGGCCAATTCATTAAAATTATTCATAGGCATGAGTGATTGATTAATAAATGTACGACGCAAATCCACAGGTTTCGCTGTTCCATGATGTCCAATTGGGTTCAAGCGTGTTTCTCGGCGAAGTACGACTAAATTGTTCGGCAATCGAGTTAAGGCAACAGGAACCACTGTCGGCGTGGTACTATCTCGGACCTCGGGAAGAATTTTCCCGGAAAAGTAACTCTCCCGAGCTAGGCGCGCTTCGTCTCAATTTACATTTTACCTCTGACACCGTATTTCCGTCTGCCACATATGAGCAGCTGCGGCAGCTAATTACATCTAGTTGGCAAGTCCAACCAATTACCTGTAGTGCTGCTTATATTATCTCACAGCTGGTATGTTCCGTTTCACTATTGAGGTACACTGACACAGGACGTGACAAGTGATCTCTAGTATTTGTTTCGATATGGTTATTCCTTTGCCTGGCTAATGCCTTCTGCTCTAAGAAAACGTTTTCGTCATTTCGATTTCATAATAATTATGATAAGTAAATGTTAATTAGATATGTTTTTATCAAATGGCTTTGGTTGTTCTTACAAAATTTGCCGCTTTGTGAACAAGCTATAGAAAATGATGTTTTTTGGTGCGGGCTCACCTTCAGGTTCCGGCCGGTGGTAAGGAAGCGATTACCCCCTTGGTACGCGTCCTTTGGGAAGCGAAACAAATTGTTCGATTCATGCGAGCGGTCGCCGAACACGAGATGCGACTGACGTCCGATGCCACAACCCTGTTTCGGGGGAACTCGCTGTTGTCTCGGTGCGTAGATGAGTTCATGAAGCTTGTTGGTATGAACTACCTCCAAAATACACTACGTCCTCTCATAGATCGGGTGCTGGCTGAAAAAAAACCGTGCGAAATCGATCCGACAAAACTCACAGATTCGACACGTCAGCTGCCGATCAATACGCACAATTTAAAGGTAAGCTACTCACTGGACCTTAAGGGGGGTTTTCTCCATTCAGCAGTCGTCACTTTCTTCTGTCTTCTTTCAAGCTGTGAAAAAACACATACATCCTCCGATATCTTTTTTTCGAGTTGTGTTATAAAGTAGCGTGAAATACAGAATGGTCTCGTTGACGGCTATCACTAATGGTTCGTCCACTAACCTTTAGAATTACTTCAATTTGATGCTGTTTACTATTTGTTGGTGCTTATTTCGGCAGGCGTACGCCGATGAAGCTTTTGAGGCAATCACGAAAAGCGCCGCGGACTGTCCGCCCGTACTTCGTGAGCTCTTTAACGCACTTAAACGTTTGGCAGCTAGACGATTTCCGAAAAATCCCCGAACTCAGTACTCAGTTGTGTCCGTGTTCGTATTTTTGCGGTTCTTCGCCGCGGCGATCCTCAACCCAAAGCTATTTGACCTCTGTCCGCCTCAGCGGAGTGTTGATCCACAGGTAACAAGTTTTATTGTATCTTCTGTCGCCAACCATTGATTGTATTGAAAAGAACAAGCGCATATATATATATATATATATATATATATATATATATATATATATATATATATATGCCAAAGTTAAATGGTTAAACAAGTATTCTATGGGAAACGTCATGCACTTGTAGATTTTCTCTTTTTGGGCAAAATCTCTATGAAAACAATGGAGCACGTTACAGAATGTGATATAATGAGCATGGATGATTTTTTTGATTCTCGAATCTTCGTAGGCTAATCGTACGCTGACATTGATTTCAAAAGTCGTACAGAGTGTCGGCAACCTGACATCAAAGAACGTGGAGGCATCCAAGGCCCGCCAGGGCGAACGACTCAACTTTGTACCTTACAAAGAGGAGTATATGTGGCGATTTTATTCGGCATTTCTCAGTGAACAGCACCCTCAGCAGGTTCGTCTGTGCATCTTCAAAATTCTAATGGTCGTCTTTCTAACCTTCATTAATTGTCATTTCATTCGTCCATTGTTTTGTGAAACTTAAACTGAATTAGTTATCATTTTAAGATAAGAATCTCGCTTTGCAGAAGTAGTCTGCAAAAATAGTTAGTATTTTTACAGAAATAGAAAACGAACGACACTCTCCTTGGTGTTTCCATTTGGGCTATGTGATTTTTCATAAACGAAGTTTTTCGAAATTGGTTAAATTATACTGCAATGACTTCACGTATTTTTTTCTTATTAAAAACTGCTGTGCATTACTCTTAGCTGCGGTTGTTTTAGGAAAAAAATAATTAAAACAAAGTTTTTTTTATTCATTAAAACATGTCTTTGTTTGATAGTGCGTAACTGTATTCTCTCTCTCTTTCTTGCTTTCTTTCCCCTCTCCCTCTCAATGATGGACTTTCACGTAAAAAATAATTGAGAAATAGTTGCCGATACCAATAATGGTCATCAATGAAACTGACTGAACAGCTCAATTGATATTACAGGTGGCTAGTTTTCTTGAGATGATCTCATCTAACCTTTCAACGACTTTGACTACGTTACCCCGAGAGGTGAACTCGTCGAATCCGCCTGTCGTCCTTAAACAGGGTACGCTGGCAAAACGCGCCCAGGGACGTAATAAGCTCGGCTTGAAGCAATTCAAAAAAAGACATTTTTATCTCACAGCGAAGGCTCTATGCTATTCAAAGAGTAAGGATGTTACCCAACCACCCCAGGGTGAAATTCCCCTAGAAGAAGTACTCGGCGTTGAACGGTTACGGGAGGAAGCGTTCAAGTTAAATAATGTTATACAGGTGCGTATCACGAGGTTATTTCCTTTAAATTTTGCCACGGCTTTTGTGCTATTATGCACTGACGGATATTGATCGTGTACAAAGAACATCCTTGTTTTGAAAGCGCTACGTTAAAGATCGACGATTCTCCCCACACGTTACTTTTTGAGGCAGAAACGAAAAACGGCATGACGCTTATAACGTTTACTCGCACATACGGAACGTTGCACATACTGATGCATAAGGTGTTGATGCGTAATTGCATGCCAACATAATCGTTCATATTTAATTGTATTCTTTTTTTTAAACACAGGTTCGGGCTTTAGCGTTCAACTTCAAAACAAATAATAAAGATGAACAGTCTCCCCTAAGACAAAACTTGATCCATTTCAAAATAGCTATTACCATCTGAATATGTATTTGGAGAACGAAGGATGGAGATGAATTGATCGTCCTTTAAGAACGTCAAACTTTGGTTAGTTTCTGGAACATCATGTATTGCATCTAATGATTTTTGGGCCGATTTTGATTAGGTTCTGCAGCCGTCGCGAATTTTATACATCCAGTGTAACAACTGCGTAGAGGAACAGGACTGGCTGGATATTTTACGGAGACTAACGGTCAACAATAGGATAAAGGTAAAGTAAACACAATCTACAGTTGGCGTTCGGCGGCAAAGTGATTCAAATTTAGTTCGCTTTATGTCTCTTTCGTATGATCTTTTTAATTGACTGAAAAAAAAAACAAAACGACCGAAATAGCAACGAGACAGAAGCGGCACACCCTTTACGATAGTTATCAAATTGTCTTCGTAAACTACGTAGTAGATATTTGTAAATGGACAGCAGCTGCTTCTATGTCTCTTGTTTTTCTACCATTATTGCTAGGGGTTTTGATGTCGGTACCTAATGATAACTTGATTGCTAGGTTTCTACGTATCATCCAGAGGCGTTCGTTGCAAACGAGTGGCAATGCTGCGGGCAACGTCAAGAAACAGACGCAGGCTGTACCCCAACGACGCGTGGACCTGATCCCCAACTGGCTGCGCAAATCGATCTTGATCGTGAACTGGAACGGCTTCATTCCCTCGTCGTTTCAAACTCGCACAATTTTAAGGCACTCATGGACACCTGTGATGAAATTTTGACTTTGCAACAGCAACAGCAGCATCTGCATCTGCACCATCATTCACAGTCACAACAGCAATCACAGCCACAACAGCAGTCACTTCACGCGGGCACGATCGCAGGTCTGTACTCATCATCTATATGCATATATGCTTTTTCTTTTTTTAATATGTTTCATAAAAAAAGAACTAGAAAGGACCAGTTCAAATAGGAAATGAGCTTTCGATAGAATAAGCTTTAAAAGAGTTGACAGTAAAGCGATATAAAAGTTCTATAAAATACCTTAACAAGGGTTTCCTATAGCCGAAATTTCACATGTTTATCGCTACCGTCAAGCATTGCTTCGGACGAGTGGATCCCTCTAACGTAAAATGTATTTATTTACGGCTTCGAACCTAGACCAAAGCATATGTCTTTAAGCTTGGTAAACAAAAACATCACGGTACGGCGTGTTAGCAATTCATCGACCCGCATCGTTGATTCTATCACGGCGCATGCTTTTTCGTCCTGTTTGAACTTTGTGAGCCTCTTAACCTCGTGGTCCTATCAGCCCTTTGGTTTCTGGCCGTTCGATATTAAGCATTACTTTTTTAGAACTGGAAATCGTACGATAATTAAATATCACTAAACGACCACCAATGACCGCACAAGGATTATCGTTAACGCAGTTACTATTCTATTACGCAAGCAGGCTTTGGATTATAGGTGAGTTGTTCATTGATTTCGTCTAACTGCTTCATAGAAATGATTCAAAAGATGAGCTTGTTTCGACGACGCCGCACACCCAATTAGAGTTTGTCGACCAACAACAGACGCGACGCTACCTTACTAACCAATATTTCGTATATAGTTGGCTAAATACGAATAGCAATTGTCGAAAAAAGGTCGTGTCTTGAAGAGACCTCTTTTTTTTTTCGCTTATTAAAATAATTCATCCGTATATCAATACAAAAACAAGTAGTTGATTCGTTTCCAAAGAACTATTATATTTTATTGTAGTGATCGATTCCCCTAACAATGTATGTAGCTAAAATGAGTGTAGCGGAAGCTGTCCTATCGGCCATGGGCTAGGACGCGAAGGCCAAGCACAAGTGTCCTCGTGCACAATACAATGGGCAGCATTAACGATGGTGGGTAATAAAATATTCGCCGTATGTATGATTACCGATTTTTGTTTGTTTTTCTTCTTACAGGACTGAATCCATGGTCTGATGACTTCACGTTGAGTTCGTCGTTCGAGGGCTCCGTTGCAAGTCATTCGGGCGCCTCTTCAGTGCTCACCGACACCCTCAACAATAACACGAACAACAATAGTAGCACTACCGCTAATAGTGGAATCGTCTGTACTGGCTCTCAGCAACATCAGTTAGATAATAATGGGACAGTCGGTAATCCTGACAGGGGTTCGCCCTATATCCAGGACGACATGAACAGGTTTGTATAACCATGGTAGCAACGTCCCGCTTCTGTAGCTCATCTGTTTACAAATAAAAGAATACCAATTGGATTATATAAATATGTACGTTCTCAATACAGAGCCGATGCGAATGATACTGGGTGTAGTAGCAGTGGCTTCATTTCTAAATCGTGCCTCAGTGGGAAATCGATAGCTGTCGTTGTTTCACGACTATATTCAATTCCTTAAGCTGATGCCTGATAGCCACGTGCTGGAACAACTACTTAGTTTAAAATGGCAGGTGAAGACTTACACAGTTGTGGGAGTGATCAAAAATATGGGAACGGAATTTTGACAGTAGTACAAATAGAACTGGCTATAAATATTGAAAATAGCTAGATATAATACTGCGTTTTCTGTCAGGTGTGTTTGTGCTTACTGAGAACCCGACTAGACAAAAGTGTAATGTTATTGATTTTCACCGGATTCTCACGCTCTTCGTTGGAAATGTTCTCGGTCCTTGGCGCAAACGTTTATCGCGATTTTTTTTTTGTTTGCATTTAACGAACGTGTATAGGACTATGGAAGATTTAAGCGCAATGACAGTCGGTGGAGGACGGAAAACGTCTTTTGAAATCGATGACGCACGTTCGATGAAAGTTGCCCTAATGGCCTTAGCAAAATGCACCAACGAGTTGGAAACTAGGCACCGGAAATACAAAGACTACCAGATTACTGGCGCCGTCCGAGGAACCAAGTAAGTACGATAACATTCTACAATATGATCACAGATTCAACCGACTCCACTCACTTTTACCTATGGTACTGGTCATTTTTCTTCGCACATCTACAACATATGCTACCTGCATAGCTTCTTATTGTTACATGGTTCTGTCTAAAGAGTTTGATCGTAGTGCTTCTGCAGTGCTACCTTGCTTCGCTCAACTACATGCTATATGTACTTGTTGATTATTGTACGCACAAAATGGTACCTGTTTAAGATTCTAGCATCTGTTAGGAGCATTAATTCGTTTCTTCTAATACAATTTCTCATAATGTTGTTTCTAGCCGAGAGCATAGGTCTGCGACGCAAGTCGGAAACATTTAGTTTACTTGGTATAGTGAAAAAAAAAAGAAATAACAGAAATTGGAAACACCGTGCGCATTTACTTCTTTCTAGTAGTTTTCCATGCAAAGTTTTATCCCCGCTTATGGGAACTTGCTCTCTGTCCCTAACTTGCAGACAAGCGCCGATCAGCTTAGAAGACAACTATATAGTGATGATGAAGCCTGCATCAATATCGTCTCAAAACATACATCAGTCGTTTTCGCGACGCTGAGCCAATGGACTTTGACCGGCACACCGTTAGTTGACCGAGCAGCGAAGTACGAACTAAACGTATAGGCCATGAAAAGCGTTTAGTAAACTGGTTAAAATTATCCATCGATGGCAACGTTGGATACATAACGGACGAGATATGACACATAACGAATGAAGGTCTTGTGATCCGAAAATCAGCCAGTGCATCGAAATTTCACGTCATCACAATTGCATCTGTATGTTACACATATTATCATAATGAGACGCGAACTCTTCACCAAATGTTTGCAAGCATTTCGAAGTAATGCAACGTTACTGCGACACGTCAATCGCTAGAAGATGGCGCTTGCATAGACATTTATTTTTATTATTATTATTATTATTATTATTACTTGTCATAGTTACATAGGATCGTCGTCGCAATAGCATAACGTTCACGTCACTATTATTTCGATCATTATTATTGTACTCTTTTGCATCATCTTATTAGAAACTATATAATGCTATATATAACAGAATAGATCTATCAATATATGTATTTACTGTGAGAAAATGCGACTAGTGGCACACGGGGGTGGTCTCGAGTTGTTTTTAATGCTCGAGTGAAGTACGTTTGCCAGCGACTCCAAACACAACAGCCGAGAATGAGATAATTTAGAAAAGAGTAGATATTGACTAGGAGGAAATAGAAAAAGAGGTTTACGAGGATCTTTGCAATGCTACCGTTATTAAGGATTAAGGCCATAAATAAAAAAAAAAATGTTTTTTACATTCGTTTTTACTTCATATATTGTTAACAATTTGAAAAACTTCTACAAGACCGAAAAAAGAGTCAGTATTTTTGCCACGGTTCTTTTTTGTCAGGGGAGTGAAAACGTAAACCCTTATAAGTCTCCCGTTGTATTTTTGCTGTTATTTCAACCTCTTCTTCTTTATCCTTACGTTTTCTTCGAAACAATATGTTATTCTTTGTAAATTGGAGTTTTTAGAGAGGGCTCAATAACGCGAAAGGAAGCTAAGGGCATAATGTAGGAACGTAAGCTAGCATATATATTGCATGTACCGTGGTGTTTAAATGAATTATAAATACAATATAAGCTATCCGTGCATATATATTCTTACTGCTATATATATATATATATATATATATATATATATATATATATATATGTATATATATATAGGAAATGCATGTACTTTAGTTTTTGTCATTTTTACCTGTTATTTTGTAGTATCGAATCGTGGAGGATCGAGGAAACGTTAAGGAATGGCAATAATGATAAGGAAGATACAAATAGAGGAACGAAGATTAAATAACGTGGTACTACTATTCATAGCATTGGTTAGTCGGCATAAATATTGATAATGACATGAAGCCAATTACGACGAGATTCGTAGCCATGTATATGGAAAAGGGAAGAGCACTGCACAAACCAAATATCACCCGGCCACCAGGGCGTTATCCGACTTCTTGCCATGTTAACTTATTGATGAATTAATTTCTATCTGGCTTGTGATTAACGCCAGCGAAATTCACTGAAAGCACGGTAGATATACAAAATATTAACTTATATTTATATAGGATCTAAGTTAATTACACTGTTAATTTGACCTAAGTCAACAACGACTCACCATGACGCTATCTCAACAAAGTTTATGTGGGAGAAAGTGTTACAACCTCACATCACGTTTCCGGGGGGTCCGGGTGTTCACGTATAGCTTTATGCTCGTCCGGTTGAAACATCTGACATCGTATCTGTTTTCCAATCGAACACTGTATGAAGTACGCCGACAGAAAAGATATAAAGAAAGAAAAGAAGGAGTGCCAATTCAATCAATACGATTCCAGTGAAATAGATCATTCAACGGCTATGGACAAGTACAAACTAATGACGACCGTGCTTCATCAAATAGGACGACATATATTTAAAACAGTGTGTATTTTATTTCTTACAAATATAGTGTAACAGTATGACGAGCGCCCGAAATGGCAGTCGAGCAAATCAGCTTTGTTGTCGCTGCTTAGTTGAGTGGACGACCCAGTGTTCGTTTGTTGTTGTTTTATTCATCCCTTTATTAAATAGACTTGACAATGGCAAAACGTATTTATATCGCTGTTAAATAATCTTTTTAGTTCTAACCCTGCTCTCTATACGACATGTTGTGATCTACCCCACCTTTAACGTCGTTCCCGCTCATTGAATAGCACCCAACAGCGGCTTGCTTAATTAAACAATCATTGAGAGCTTCGAATCATCGTTCGGTGCCATGAGCTTTCGACGAGTCGTCTCGGGCTAGTTTTACATAACGGTACGTTTTACGATTCGGTGACCTAAAAGGCGGACCAGATATTCAACCGCTCTTTACTAGAACCATTGTGGATTTACAGAATTGTACGCGGGCCTCGAAGCGCCATTTTTGTAATAGGTGTAGCACAAATCTTCAAACGCGAGGAAGCTTTTATCTCATTCGAATCGTCAAGCGTGGTCAGAACACGTAGTTGAATCTTTTTACGAGCATAAACAGAACACTTCTATTTGAGTTAATAACGACTGTATGGCTTTAGACGGCTGGAAGCCTAAAAACGTAACGGCGAGTGGTTCGTCTAAAGTGGTAACTTAGTAACCCAACTAGAATAATGCCGTTTTTTCCCAATATCATTTGACAATATGTTTAACATATACAAAGAGTATAACAGCATTAGTAAAAAGATTGTATTTGGGTTACGTAACAGGAAATATCAAACAAAAACAATAGGAGATCGAAGCGACATCCACGAGCGGTGTGCATCTTGCACTCTATCGAATACGCCTTTACTATTTGCAGGGTACTTCGTATTTTTCGACTTAAGGAGGATAGCCTTAATGGAACACCACTCAGTATGAAGTAGGTTATACGCGAGAACCATGATTCATATTAACCAAAAGACGCCATATACCTGTGTATACAGTCAATTTCCAGCAGTCCACATAAGAGCAACATAAACCACATAGAGCAGAAATAAAAATATTACCAATTATATGGACTTCGATGATATAATGCGGCACGGTTTTTCCAAAAAAATGGGCAGTATTATAGCAGAAATAAACTTCTTAATAAAAGTATTAAATTACATTTTTAGAAAATCAATTAAGGCTTCTTTTGTCACTACTGCACGTTGCAAGGCAGGCGTAACAAGGCAATACAACTACAACATCGTTTCTTGTACGTCTATGAAAGGTCTTCATTGAAACTGAGTTCCTAGCAGGTCGACGTACATAGGTCCTTTTTTTCTTATGAGTCTTGCCAAAGCAATCTTGTAGCGAGCCAACTGCACGAAATATCTTACTTTTCATTGAAGTGATTCAATGAAAAGTAAGATTTATTCAGAATAGGCTCGTTTATGAACTTCATTTACATTTATGATTTGTGTATTTATCCTACACCAATTATAATGCAACTAGGGGTGCATGTTCGACCAAAGCAGGCGTGGCAGTTTTTATAAATTTAGGTCGACAGGCAAGCGTTCCGCTGGCGAAGACAGGTCTAGAAATCATTGTTCATCCTACCGAACGAGTAAGCTTGCCGTCGACTCTCGCGTTAGGGTTGTGGGATGGATCGTTCTAAGAAAGCAGCGTAAGCTGAATGAGCTGCTAACTACAACAGCAACTGTTACAGCTAGTAGCTCGTACTGGTGAGTGATTCGCTCAAAATAGTATTGACTATTGTTACTAAAAAAAAAAAAAAAAAAAAAATAGCCAATATGAACCTCTATTGGCTATATGCCATGTCCGATAGGAAGGAACACTATGGAGCAGGGCTCCTCAACAGAAGGCCAAGCAACAAAACAAACAGGAACTGCCATACAGACGACGAGTTGCTACTGATTGATGTACTCGCAGATAAATGATAATAAAATTGAATATATCGAAAACGACAAAAATAAGCTAGTACCCGGTCTGGTAAATTGTCTGCAAAGAGTGACCCGACGACGCTATATATCTCGCTAGTCAGACAATTTTTCTATCAAAAAAACTATTTTCTATCAAGCAATAAAATGCGTTTCCTTTTCATATCTCAGGCAACGAAACCTCATTTTTTCCATGTAGCCTTTGACTTGGAGTAAAAAAAGCGAAAAGAAAATAGTAGTATAGCACAAAGTGTCTAACTACTTTTTGCTTTGCCAAAATTGATTTATGCACGCTATCATCCATAGGTGACATAAGCAGCCTATACAGATTTACGGCTATATTTACTCGATCATTTGCGGTTGGTTTGGCCATTTCCAGTGTCATAAACAGCCAATAGGTAATTTGTCAGAGGATGGAGCTTCTCAAGCTGGAGAGAAATATCAAGAAAACAGCCATTGTTATCCTCGTTTATCGAAAGGTGCTGGCTTGGGCGTGGGGTACTTGTATAATATCAAAAATATTTAATACATATACGAGCGGTATAACGGGCAGCATAGGCTTAGACCAAAGTCTAACACTTTTATGATATTGTTTCGAGTCTTACTTTAAAAAATTCATAGCGGACCTTATTTAAAAACTTGCCCCTGCTCGAATAATTCGTTGTACTAACGACTCCTTGCTTGTTAAATAAGCAACAGTACACACAGAGCTTTTTTTCGCGTAACTTCTATACATTATAATAAGATGATAAATCGTCTTCAACTGATCGTAAGGGAACAACATTCAATGGCACATAATTTAAAACTACCGCTGCTGTGTGGCAAAGACAAGCTTCTGAATCTGTTTGAGAGGAGATTCGGGCGGCAATATTGCTGATTTTGTAGAAAGCTAAAACTAAACCCGTCTGTTCGATAGTGGCATCCGATACTATATCTGATACGATACTAGATCTGATACGATAAGCAGCTTTATAAATGTATGGCACGCATTGCAATGTAGACCTCTTTGAAACAACATACCTACATAGGTTTGTCCTGAGGTTTCCTCGTATCCTGAGGCGATATAGAGGACGTTATTTATGATGGTTGTATACATCTCGTACTGGTCTTTTATACAACGTAGCCTGGTCATCGGTCACTACATCAATAAGACACTAGGTTAGAATAAAGGATCGGAATCGTTTACCACTTCGCACTATACGAACAAAGTGGATATTGTCATTATTATTATTATTATTATTAACGTAATTAAGGGCTTCAGCTGTTAATACGTTAGATTTCCCCTCGAAAAAAAGGTTAAACGTATGGATTAAAACGATCACCGTCATGATTGTGGTAAGACAGGCAAACAAACGCTTACCAAACTACAACTTTTATCGGTATAGAACACTGTCTCCGTTGCAAATTGTTATTAGTATTTAGGTTCTAGCGTAGAAGACCAAGGATCAGTAGCATTCAAGAGCTTTATAGTAGCGATTTTTTTCGTAAAATAAAATAAACACTAAAATTTAATCAATACACAACGTAAAAAGGAACATGTATGCTCCGAAGAAGAGTTAATTAAATATTTTTTTCAAAAACAATATTGCCATATATATATATATATATGCGCAACGTCACCGAAGACACGGATTTTATACGACACGTTTACTGTATCACTGTTCTATCTATGGCAACAACAGACCTAAAAATATCCTCCAATCAAGATCACAAACTTCCGCATTACTAAATAGATCTTTCTTTATTTCTCCTATTGGACTACAATGACTAACCATTTTACTAAACCACAACACACTTATCGGATGTGAGCAAGTATATCTGGTGGGCGTCTACTTGTGGGATGTTGAAGGGCCGAGATGCGACCTGCGCCGTCCTGTACTCCATCTTTTAGGTTTCGATGCTAGCCACAGCACTTATGGTTTGTGCCCACGTAAGTTTCTATTTTACTTCAATGAAGCGTCAGACCTAAATTTAGATTTTCCTTCCTCTAATAAGGGTATAGATCCATGTCTCTTTTGGCCCACGGGTACTTGTCTGTATGCTTACTGTCATTGCTTAACGTAAACTTTGTGATGTTTTCGTTGTAGTAACCGGCGTATAATTCCAGCCTTTACAGAAGGGTTGTGGGTATTTGGGGCCATCGATATTCGAGACGTAGATGACTCAGCCCAGTATAACAGCAATGAGTTGTACTGTGTAAACGATTAGCGATTTATACAGTAGAATCAAGTTAAAATCGCGCTCATACCGGCCTCAATACTTTACGCGGTAGTCATAACCAGTGAAGACTTTACGGTATACTGGCGGGGTGCTTCGACAGGCCATTGAGATGCTGTAACTTTACATGACTTTTAAACATTCCCTGAAAATCCGACTGCAACTTTTTCTCACTAGTATTTAATAGCTGTTCGATGGTTAAAAGCTAAAAATGTAACTCTGAATCAGTTAAAACTTGCGCGGCATATATTATTTGCGAACTGCGCTATGTATCGCTTGGCTTATGTTGATTTGCTGGTAATACTCTAATAGGTCGTTTCAAATATGCCAATTTGGGGCTACCGCAAAAATGCTACATGGTTACTTTAGGTTAATCCTCTATATTAGGCAATAAATATCGTTGCTTGCTATATATAGCATATATTCGTAGACTAATTTGTATGTATTTTATTTATGTTGAAAACGTCTTCGAGTTGTTTGATGAAACGATGCCCAGACTTCATTGATTGCGGCTAGTAGGTGGTATAGGTGTCGACTACCTGCTTGTTCTAGACCTACTGCAGTATTAAGTAATATAGCCGAGGTTCTACCTAGCGCAAATACTATAGTGTTTATCTGCAAAGATTTCGATTATTATTTACTATGACTGAGACATTTGTTCACATAAAAATATGATGACCACACAACCAATGCATGTTACGCCTCATTCCGGAGCGGTTCAGTTTGGCCTAGTTATCAAACATTTACAAATCCTATAACAAAATTTCATAGCAAATAGTACATCGCACAATTTAGCCTTTCGTCATTTCTTCAACCATATCTTTCCCGTTAAATCCGCGCAAATATTGATTATACTCTTTTATGGCCTAGTGATTTACACCACAATCCCTGTTTCTAGCATGGAAAACGATATGTTTGACCTAAAAATCCTTTCGCCTTATCGTTGCTTGCCGTTAATGTAGGCTCACTGTGATAGCAGAAAAAGTTGATGGTAGGCTTGTCAGTATCCCTATAATGAATGAGCCTCGATCTAGTAGAAAGAATCATTTGTAGTGAATTGTGATTATCGTTATTTTCTAAATAGTGTATATATTGACAATATTGTTTTATCCGACCAGCGCGTTACGCCAGTGGGTACAATTATACACTATTGATAGTCATATGTTAGTGACGATCTTAGTGTAAATACAAGCTCACAGGTACGTACTCACATGAACTAAGTTGAGTCATAAATCTGGGACGACGCAGTTCTTCGAATTTTTCTATAAAACCAACAGCGACGCTGTCCGCTTCCATATATGCTCGAAAAGGAGCGGTCCTATAATGTCGTCAGAGTACAAGTCAACGTGAGGAGTTTTATAGGCCTTCACCTGCTTTCAGGTTGCGTCTGAAGAGGTAACTTTAGGTAAGCTATAGCCGGGAAGGAAAGCGGCGTCTTCTCCATTCTATCGGAGTTTGATAAAACGCATTTCGCTACTTCATATTGCTCCATCTTTTCAGACTTGCTGCTAACAACAAAGAAAAACAAACGAACAAACACTAACGGGAGTTTCAATCTTTTAAAAGTTGTTATTAGAGACAATTTCCGACAACGAGTTCCATGCAGTTCCTGTTCTAAATATGAGTCATCATAAACAAGATGTTTGTCTGTGACACAGTGGAGCTCATCGGAAAATATGGACTGCTATGTACAGGGCGATTAAGGGATTGTTGTGCTAGCACGTTTGAAACTTGTGCTTTAGTTTTTTACTCTTCGCATAAAATAATTACAGAAGAATATTGTGTTATTACCCTGTGTATTGCAAGCTAGAAAAACGTCAAATTCACACTTTTCAAATATATTGTCAGAACTTCCACGAAAGCTCACGAGTTTATTCTTTCCAACAATTGAATTAAAGCAATGATTTCTTACGGAGCTCAAAAACAAATGAAGCACGGTTTGAATACACAGGACGATGGTGAATACAAACACCTCCTACACGTTTTATTATTTGTCCTTTTACCTGGGAAACGTAGCAGTGGCTTTTCTTTTCTGTACAGTTTACACCCGCATAGAAAGTTCGATACGGCTCGCATAGTTTTACAATTCCGTAACAATTGTCTGTTTGTTTTTTATCAATTTGAGGTCAATTTACAAACGATTCGCTTGTATAGCGTGGGATTCGTCTATACGAATGCTGACAACAATACATCTGTGAACAGGAACATGTTCCATAGTTTCTTTTTTTTTAGGCCAACTATTAGGATATATCAGGTTGTTGCAAGTTACGTTTTCGCATGTTCATATATCGAATAATCTTACTTTGTGTCTTTAGATTTGAAATGAATGTTGCTTGTTTTTGCCACTGTTTGGCCGGTGTAATGAGCTTGTGACGCATGACGTTGGACGAGATTTGGTAACGCATCGATAAGCTGTTTTTGCCGTTCTAGAGTAAACTAATATCCCTATACCTGCGCATATCGCATTGGGTTTAAGTAAGCCTTAATTGACATAATACTGACATAATCTTTTCAGCCAGTTTACGTATGACCTGGCAGCTCTCTTCCCTTAGTGGCACCGTCTGTATTGGGAAGTAAGCACCCATACCGCCTCGAACGAAATCAGATCTTATAGAACACCCAAGTAAAACGAGCGATATTTTACTTTGGCTACGAACGGTCGTTGTCAAGCTTTAGACATTAAGCATTAAGTACACAGGTCGAGACGAACGCCTTTCAGTCGGCAGTGAATAAAGTCGTCCATTGTGGATCGATAATTAAATTAGGTTCTGAATAAATCGCCCCCCTGCGAATCGTAGCTAAATTTATTAAAAGTAAATATAAGAGTCTATCCCTATACATCTAAGGTCAATGGAAACAGTGGTGTGTCACAAACGTGAAGTCAGCGCAAACGGCGGGCGTGTTCACGAGCAAGGTCCGGCAAGTATCTATATATATATATATATATATATATATATATATATATATATATATATATATATATATATATATAACGGCTAGCGTCTGTCGACCAGGCGGAATTTACACATTCGCTAGATACAAAATAGCCTCTAATTGCCACTTTTAAATAATAGCAACTTTATTTTACCCATTGTTCCTCAATACAACGCCAAGCAGCCTTATAGAGAGGAGAGATATATATATCTCATACAATAGATATTGTGTAATATCATATCACGTTCGAATCAAGCTCAAGTGTAGCAAATAACGATAGGATCCCATTTAGAATTTATGATCGCCGGTGTGACAATGACGGTAATGATTTTGTGTGTTTATGTATACATGTGTTTGAAGACCTTGTCTACTCTAACGTTCGCTGGTAAAAGGTTTATAGAATTAGATGATATCCCTATACTTGTCTAAACAATTTGATCAGCTTCGTAACTGTAAATCATATTTGCCCTACTAAATCAAAACGATGTATTATATATAGCATTATAAGGCAAACGAGAGACTTCAAGTGTGTCAGTGGAAACATATCAGAGCTAAGAGTTGTGTTAAATATACTTCACTTACTATAGATAGTACGTGGAGTATATATAGTAATCCATTAAAGTTGAAATTCAAAACGCTATATACTATATATATATATATATATATATATATATAATATATATAACGCTATATATATAATTATCTCGCCGTCACGTTGTCTATTATTATTATTATTATAAAGATAGTTCGATTAAATATATATACCGTCCGTCATACCTATAGTGAGACGTTTTTAAGTATAAAAGTTAACATATTAACCTGTAAGAATCTTCTAGTCAGTATTATATTTAGCTGTACAAGCGCATAGAACGGGCAGGCAAAGAGCCGAGTAGGTCTTAGGACAGCAGTGATTCTTGATACTCATCCAAGCTGAGTGTCGCAATAATAGAAGGGAAAATCTTTTTTTTCATATTTAGAACAACGGTCGTCTTTGCTAGTTTACTTTGTTGACTCTATACGGTTTTAATTAAATGGACGCATTAAATTCGTATAGCCAGCCGAAAAGTCTGGGATGGTCACACCGATACTGGACGGTGGATGGCCCACTTGAAATAAAGCGGGTGGCTGTTGCCACTGTCGGCTTCGGGCTTGAATTGGTCCTACCAGGTTCTCTGGTTGCTGTGGCTGGTTGGGAATAGGCCAAGCATTATAATTGTTATTGTCTTGTGAACGTATGTAATTAGGTGGCACAGCATATGCAAAAGGTATTAGATTGCGTTCCAGGCGTAAGTCTTTCAATATTAGATTCTCGATAATGCCACCAATATGGGCCCTTCCTTTACCGTTCAGCCCAAAACCGGTGACCCGTAATAGAGAAGGTAAATTTTTTTTCGACAGGTAAAAATCTAGATACCGAACTGTGAATTTAACTCCACGAATTATTCCAGAGAGGACAAGATCATTGAAGAGAGCCATTCGTTGGTTGCAGCCATGAATATAGTTCATGTCGTAATGTCCTACGAGATCAGTAGTACGAGCGGTTAGCAGGCATATGATGACGGTTCGAAGACTCGGCAACAATATCTGCAGCCGATACAGACGTTCCTCAAGGTAAGTAACGACTTGCACGGGATTTGATGATGGTGAGCTGAGATCATTTGAGCCCAGATGAACGAACAGTGTTTCGATCGATCTGGGTAGAACTTGTTCGGCGAGATCCATCGTGGGACCGATACGGCCACGAGGGTAAGAAATGACGGCAGGACAATCATCAGGATGCAGTGCGCCGTGGGCAAAAGCCACATCGCAGATCCGAAAAAAAAAACAGTCGCCTACCAACGCCACCCATGGCTCCCGAATCTGGAAGTTTAGACATGGACGAGGAATTAATCTGGAGACTTCAGCGTCTCCAACTGCTTTTGTGACTGTACACTTGCCCGCTATTATTGTTAACGGCATTATTATCGTTGACTCAATCAGGCACAGTTGTCAATTTTAAGTGAACTCAGTTTTCTAGGCTCGTTTCCTTCTAGGATTACGATACATTGTACTATCTAATCCATCTGTCATCACAAATCGTCAACTGCCATTGGCATTAGCTTCATCCTCAAGTGGCTGTTAAAATTTACATTTTATCAAATGTCGCTGGTATCATCCGCGATAGCGAAGCAATGCGTCAGTAAGTGCTATTATCACAACGTAATACCGGATCCTTCTTTCGAAGTTTCGAACAGCGCAGAGAGCACCGCACATTTACAGAGTTCTCTTCAGAATCATCCTTTTCACGGGGGGTAAACCTCACGGCGTTCGGACGGTACGCGAAGATGCGTTACTTAAGAGTACCGTTCGTATGCATTGGACGCCAGTTCGACAAAACGCATCATACCAAATGAGCGTATTTGCTGATCCGTCTGAAGATCCGAATAGTCCATATGTTATAAATGTTCAGTTTGTCGATGTTATTAGTGATTCGTGTTAGTCATTTACGCGTCCGTTCCATTCGGCTGTTCATGAGTGATCCTGACAGGCGTCGACAGGCATGGCTGGATCGACATGGCAGGCCAAAACAAAAAACGAACACGCAACTTCTATTAGCACAAACCGCAATTGCAACAACATGCTATTCTATGGACAATAGAAGTAGAAGTGAACAATTGAACCGTAGCATTTTGGACGCGCCGCTAATATGAAACGGAGCAAGTAGAGAGGGCTGAAGTAGTCAAAGATTAAACGTGTATACGTACATGTAAGGTAAGAGTTGATGCCCTCTCCAGGAGCCGGCGACAAAATAGGTTCGATCTGAATTAAGCACAACGCAACAGCGCACAACCTGACGATGGCCATGGCGACCGTGGTGGTGACGATGACGATGACGATGGTAATGATAACACCTGAATCCCTCACAAGTGTACAGGCTCACGCAGAAACGCAACAAAGTGGAACTATTATGACGAATGAAAGAGGGCATTCGGAGCGTCTAACTGGACGATGCTGTTTACATTTTCTTCCTCTATACGGTAGTTGCTTTAACGTGTTTGTGATCATTATTGCTATACCATCAGCATTGGCTCCCATCGTCGTCTGCTCACAGCCCTCCAGAAAATCAGTGTTTCTCTTCTACACAAGTTCCTCCACATATCGCTTTGGCTCATCGACTTCTTATCGTCTTCACTGCTAAAAAATAAACAGATCGTCTGAGGTAAACAAAACAAGATTGTTCCTGGGCTTTTTCGCAAGCTACATTGTGAATCCGGTCTAGCTAGCCATCTGTGATGACCACGTAGGTCTAAGCAGCTAACAGTAAATAGGTAAACATTTTTTCAGGTAAGACCTCTCTTGTCGTTTTTCTTTCACAGGACAATTGCCTTGAGCCTGCCTTGAAGTCCGCTTGACGGTCTATAGACCGATAATAATAATATCAAAGGACACCGATAATGGTATCATCGATGAGTCATGTGCCATTGCCGAATCAATCCCACATGAACCCTTGCATTATCTACACTGGCTTCTTTTAGCGCAGATCTTGCTATCTTCAGCTATGTCAGAAGGTATTAGAATTAGGAGTAGGATCAATTATTTCATCTCTGTCCATTAGCAAAACTCTAATAATGTGAACTACAGAAAACTCTCAAAGGACACAAGGTACTTGAGACAGCAAGCACACTTACATGAGTCGGTCTTCAACAGGCCGTCATGAATCTGCCAAGCAGATCTATGTCCGGGCATGATGATTATCACTCAACGAAGTTCCTTAAAAGGACTGGATATAGTGTTTGATTGAAAGCAGAAATTCGGAGGACCTTATATATTCCATATTATTAAGTTGCCCTATATACTTTGAAACATTAAAAGCTTTTGTTGTACACTAGAGAGTGAACTTGCTGAAACGAAGAACCCATTATGGCCCCTAATGGAGGCAATAAGATTTCGACATAAAATCAAACTTTGTTTTATTGAATTTATCCCCACACCTCACCCCCTTCATACAATTCAGCTTTAAAACACCGCTTCAAATCGGGGTGAAGACATGACAATTATCATAGAGATTATTTCCAACTTCGTTTCACCTGCTCATAGACAGGAAGGTCCTTAGCGTTTCTGCGGGTTGTACCCATATAAAGAAAATAATAGCGGCGGTTGGAAGCACGGCGTTTCCCCTTTAGAGCATGAAACAGGGTTATTGTGCCTTCGCGTCGCTTGTTCGAATATACCATGCCATAGAAGTTCCAGCAAGTTTACCGTATTGAATTTTGGGCATTTTGACATAACGAAAGCAAAGGAGGAAAGAGCGCTTACAGTATTTAAATATCGTAGAAGAGTATACATACACTTAGTAGAGATGTAAAACTTACATATATATAGTACTATAACATGTTTTGCTCTATCTGTTTGGCCAAACATATATTTTACGTCCATTCCAGAAATTCCCCATAAAGTTTCAATTAACAATACACACTTCCCATAATCAACCCATGGCGCGATTTAATCACGATTAAAACTAATGTACTATTATATCACTAGGAACTTCTTAAACATTTTTTCGCACTATAATAGATAAAATTTAAATAAATATCGTTTCCTGTAAATAGTTCCCGCACTACTAACGGATACCTTGCCGCGTTGCAATTTTTTCATGCGATCTTTCTATGGGGTGTCTGTCTGTGTGTAAGTACACTACGTGAAATAAATGCTAAATAGAAATATCTATACTTCATTTGTTTATTCTAATATATATATATATATATATATATATATATATATATATATAGTTAATAATTTGACGTATTATTATAGCACCAGTTTAAAAAGCTATAAAAAATAATCTGACAAACAAACTGGAGTTTGAATGAAAGTCTGTGCCTTGCGGGCGTTGATCCGGATAATAATACCTACGTAAGTAAGTAAACGTTTCGAGTTAGTTCAGTAGCACCGACCCACGTAATCCATAAATTTATTTCTCGATACTGACATTGTTATAACAGGGTCCGATAGTTGTTGGCCAAAAACTGCTTGGCACAGATATAATCCTTGAAGAGCTCCTTGAAACAAGTTAGTTTGCGTACCCGCTAACTGAATCCTTGTATAGTCCTGCTTAAATTGTTCATTCGTGTAGAGGACGTCGGTCGAACGAAGTCATATGATAAAAGCGGATATATATATAGTACAAAATGCTTTAGTAGCTTCAGCCGCTTTAAAATGAGCGGCCTCTTTGTGAGATCAGAATTCTCCCGGTCAGACTGTCTACGTTTTCAGTGCTTGACTATGTGGAAGTGGACAAATAAAACTACTCGAAAGGTTTCTGCTTTCCTTAAAAAGTACATGACGAAAGCCTTATTGGTAAGGCCTAGTACAGGAGAAACCATTGTCCAATGCCTTAGAATCTCTTTAAAGCTTCGTCATGTGTTGGAGTGTCTGCGCTGTCTCTCGCTCAAAACGGAAACTAACACACAGCCTGACACAGAGGGTTGAGGTATAGATATATAAGATCTTCGGACTATGAACTAGGTTCTTGTTCTTTTGCTCGCTTTACTCAGTTGCTGCAGAGTAAATGCTTGTTAAACATTGTGCCATAATTGGAATTATCGAAGAACATCGAGACTGCGTCAATTCAGCCTCAGTGAACTTTGTTACGTGGTCGTTGGCAGCTACAAACGATATTTGAAGGGCGTAACTCACTCAGTGGTACGTTGGTGTTCATTGTTGATACTACTGATAAAGGTTATGGTAGTCTTGAAAAAGTTATCCTGGCCATTATATACGATTTAATATGTTCAGGCAGACATTGCGAATATGCAAGGAATTTAACATATATATATTTAAAAAAAAAAAAAAAAGCTGACAATCGTCGAAGGTAGGAGAATAGGAAAACTTTAATCTCGACTCCAAGGATCATGTGAACACTCTTATATTTACGAATCTGTGCTAGTGCATATTAAAAAAACCCACTCGACTATCAAACAAAAAAATGGTGATTTTCTTTAGTTGCACGCGTTGATTGTAAGATAAGCTATCTGTCTGAACTTGAAGTTGATTCTATTGTTAATAATTGCGTCAGATCTAACCAACTTATTTAAATAGCTGTGATTTTATGAAATCTGAAAGAGCCTGTAGATTAGTCGAAAAAAAAGCCGCACGAAGAAACGTTTGCAGGATATTACATCTCTAATTACAGTAAATCTGTTTATCTGCATAACTTTGGGATATACTAACCACAACGAAAATACATTTGGTCTTTGGCAGGGAAAAAAAAAAAAAAAAACTAGGCAAAACGGTATTTTAAAAAATTATGTCGAGGTCCACAAAAGGTTAGAGGTACATTAATTTATATTACGTTACGCTAAATGAATCATCTTTGATTGAGCCACCTTATGGCTGAAAATAAGATTTGCACACAGGTACACGGATTAAGATACTTCCAGTCATTAAATTAAGGGTAGTTCCTTTGACAAAACAAAAAGTACGTTGCGTATAACGCCGAGGCAATGCAGCCCTTCGAAATGGCCACTATTGTAATTACGCTCGCTATTGGAGATCTATCTAAAATTACTCTGTCCTATTATTCGGCAATATGTAATCAAACAAGCGTAATGCTTTTTGAATAGCCTAAAATCTACGAAACGGAAGTTCACAGTTACGACGTTCCACTGTTGTGGTACACATTTTATCATCACAAGCTACAAAATATAACTTGTGATATATTGACTCCTCACGTTTCAAGTGATCCCTCGATTGATAATTTGGCCCGGCGGTAATTCCATTAAGTGAGATAACTTCGAAATTTCGATAATTACAGCTGTTCTACGAATAATACTTGAGGTGGCCAATAGAGATCGCTGTCTAACATGTATCTATTTGTATATTTTGAGCATAAAATAAATGAACAAGCTAAATAGCTGTTGTAATCGCTTGACAAAAACGTAGGCTTAAAATTTAGGTTTAATTAACACCAAATAAGCCTCTCAGTCCTATTAATGTTATCTATTAAATTATATCAATGGCGTCGAACTGCGAGCTTTGACGTAACAATAGATGATTTTGTACATCGTTTACGATGTTATAGTCATTTCTATGTTTGTGTATATATATAAAAGTTCACCATACACAAAGTAGATGTTGAACTTGATAATAATAATAACTAAACTTTTTATCGTCAGTAACGTAGCCAATTTTAATTTATTATTAACCCAAGATAGCTAATTTTACAGAAAGTTCATCAAAATTTTTTAATGAATGAACTCTAATCTATTATCTCGAAATCCGCTTATCTCAGTCGAGTAGTTAAGAGCTATACGGATGATTAGTTGAAGAACAATGTCGCAGTAATGAGATCAGACGTACGACAAGTTTTAATTCTACACATATTTTGTTTACACATTTATTTAAACAAAGTTGTATCGTTTATACTTTTACATTGTGCTGCAAGCTAGCTTGTTGGTTCCGAACAAATATGAATATCATACAAGCCTATGGTGCTTCTTTGCCGAGAGCTCAGTTTAAATTCGAGCGTAACTTGGTCACCTGTCGCTTGATTCGCATTCAATTTACAGCAGAAGTGCGTGTAACACAATTTTTTACATTATACTTCGGCTTCATTGGCTTATGAGTTACCCACACTTTCGCAAGCACCCTCATTTACAGGACGGTCCTGGAGGAGCTGATGTATATATATATATAGCAGACAGGCAGAAGCTCCCCGCTAAGCCTAGCGCTATTCGCTCATATTTTGGAAATACTTTGTACGAAGGGGAGCTATTGGAACATCAGCGTCAGGCAGTGGGCCCGAGCCGTTAGCTGGAGGCTTGAGCTGATTTGCCGCATGACTTAGTTGAAGAGCTGCATCGGGGTGGGCAGTGCCTGGAAGAAGAGTGCATTCCCTTTCAAGAATCGACGATAACGCTTCAAGTAGATCTGTGAAGCCGTACGATATGGCAGCTCGACGTACTCGATTCAATTCCTGTCAATCAGATGCAGCTCGAATTTGTATTCGTTCTAAACAAGTGATTTAAGAAATTCAGACGAACACTTCGTTTCAACTTCTGATTAACAATGTTTTCCCAAAAGAGACGGACGGTTTCTTTTATTAGCAACTGCGTTTCCGTTTGCAATGAACTAGTACAGAATGTTTGGAGTTGTATTTTTTTTATCTTCGCGCGAAAAATTGTCCGACGCAGATCGGCGTCGGCCCTAGAAGGGCCTATATCGACTGTCTCAAGTATGGCGTGCCTTTGAAATGCCGTAGTTGATTGCAACTGGTTAACAAATTAAAACCTCATCCAATTGAAGTTGACCATCTCATCAGGCAGAACCGGACACGATAAACAGAATTATAACTGCATTTAATATATATAGACATGAAACACGAACCTTGTAAAAGTTATGGATCTTCTCAGGTAGTTTACGCGCATGTCGGAGAATCTTCTGTATGTCTGCCTGAAGACCCGTTGTGCGAATCCAAACGACTGAGTTTTGTGAGTAGCTGGGTTTTTCAAGCGGTTTTAGCGGAAGCTTTAGCTTTTCCCAGGTCGATGGGATCTGATCAAGCGTAAGCACAACGAACAACACAAGCGTATATGCCAGTAATCTACGTCACAAATCAGACTCAGCACGCAAAGTTAATCAATCAAACTTCTAACTTAGGATTGTTCTCCTCCAACGAGAGGGGCATAGAGAATAAGAAATAGCAATCTAAGGGTGTACTATAAAACTATACTAATCAACGACGCATACAGTCTCGAATTATCTTACAAAAAGCACCTAAACTTTCTCGCTTTTTATGTGAAATAAGTAATTTTTGCTCCGCGAACGAAATTAGGTTTCACAGAAACTACCAACTCCATTGAGGTTAGCGCTGCCGAGGTTCTTGAAGGCGCACCACCAAGGCACAGAGTTCTCGCCGGGTTCGAACGTTGAGAGCATGAGATTAGACTTCTTTTTGCTATCCGCCCACGAGTACAACATTCCATACCAAGACGGCCTGTAAACGAACAAATGTTTAACAGTTGTTTGATATCACTAAGCTTTAGGGCGCATAAAAATGCATTTACGTGAAAGGCTAATATGTGATGGTTATCTGAAGTATTAAAAAAAGGGATGATAAAGGTAACTGACCCAATTCTGGCAATAGCGACCATCGACTCAACCTTAAGCGATCCATGCAGAAGGACACAGAATGAAGCCTGCTTTCCGTCGTTTTCATCGCCTGTAGCCGAGCCCACATTACTACAAACGCCATCTCCACTGTCTGAAGTCACCGCTGGCTCCGCTTTGATCTCGCCAATCGACGGCAACGACGAGGAATTCTCTTGAGAATCAATCCCACCGACTATACCTCCGCTTGAGTCCGATGTATCTGTAAACGACGTTCAGATCAATGTAATCATTGTTCAGAAACGTTCCTTGTCTAACTGGTCGACTTATACAATCACTCCATATATGAGCTACTATCGATTACATATATATATAATGAAACAAGTATGGAAGGAATGCGCGTCAAGTAAGACGTTGCCAAATTGCCAAGATAAATGGTCCAAGTAATTTTTTCAAGCTGAGACAACAACAGATTAACACAGCGTTATCTATGAGGTAGCGTACACAATGCTAAGTTAATTTCGGCCATATCTAGTTCCTACAAGTTCTGCTGTTCGCGACTTTCGGATACTCAGCTGTTTGAAGCCTACCTACGAAGCATTAGTAACTGTACCAACCATAGGTTTTTGGTGCTGGTATTGGTAAAACGAGATGACGAGACACTGTAGCAGGATGTGCTACATCACCAATGTTCATGAATCCAACAATCGAGATTTGTTCAGTCATTCGCACCGGTGGCTGATCGGCTTCGGCGTCTGGGCCACGTCGCGGCTGCGGTTCAGGTGGGGGGCAAAGCGTCACGTGTGAAGACAAATGGCCACACGTAAGGCGACCCTGCCAGGAGACATACGATGACTCGCCGATCGATACGAACGCCTACAGAAAAGAGTTTAGCAGGACATACAAACGGCATATATAAGCTAATGAATTAATCTATTAAAATTCATTCACCTTCACAAAAACCTCACAAGTACAGGCCAGTAGCACAGTGTCCCTATATTGGAGGAGGTATATGGAACCATTTTATCATATCAAACATTTGGCATTATTTTTTTTTACATATATCAATTTTCTTTGATTATACTTTATGTTGTTGAATACCTAAAATTAATTATAGCGATTTGTCAAATGTCCTAAAGACGGCGGCAGGAGGCAAAAAGAAGCATGATACCGTCACATTTTTTCAGAGTGTTCCCATTAATTTCCACGAGTTCGTATAGTTCGTTTTGAAGGCTTCTGTTGGTGGAAGCTCAGAGCGACGTCCCAGATCCTTGGATAGCGATGGTGAGTGGAGTGAGAGATACATAAAACGATCGCGGGTCTCCATATGTAGCCTAACGGTCGTTTATGAGGGAAGGCCCTGAGACGATTTAATTGTTCGAGTTTTTCTACTGTAAGATCTTTCTAAATGACGTGTATCCCCATTAAAACTAGATTTAGATTGAACGAAGTGAGAGCGATTACAAGAGGCACGCGGTAAAACAATTTGATCGCCCATGCGGCCAACACTGCGTTCCTCCATCTTTTGTTACGTGCGCCGCAGTGAAACTTCTGTCCTTCGCAGAGAATAGAAATTCCAAGTATAGGCAGCGCTTTACATAGGCAAGAGGTGCCCTGCCGATGTATGTCGAGCGTTGCTTCTCCATCTAAACTTTATCACCTCTGTCTTGTTAAGTTTACTTCAAATCTTTGACCGCCGTATGGAGCTGACCTAGTGTCTACTGCATTTGAAATCTGTTTGACCCGTGTACCATTAAAACGCCTGCATACACGATGACTTCGACCGATTTTTCCGCCCACTTATTTGATTAAAATAGAGAATAGGAGTGACTTTTGGCTGTTTCCCTGAGCCAAGCCAGTTGTCTATATTAAGAGTGGAAGTTTGGCTACTGCTTCGATGGTTATTTCGTGTTTGTGAAGAATTGCAGCAAGAAAGTTAAGCACATCCATAGGCATACCGACCTTGGCCAGCGTGAGCGTACTTTGTCCCCGGGCGTCGAGTTGAAGGCTATTTTGAAGTCGACGAAGACCCCGTATCGCTCATTGCGGGGCGCCGTGAGCTCGTTATTGACATCGACCATCATGATCTTTCCGAAACCGTTGAGATGGTATGAACGATTTTTTTTTTTTTTGGGGGGGGGGGGGGTAAGAACTGTTCAATATCTTAATCAGCAAGCCAGAGAACGGCTCATATTAAACTCTTCTTCTTCACGATACCCCGCCACGATGACAACGCGACTTTTCCTTTAGAGATCACTAACAGGATAGCGTCTCTTCATTTAGCTCAAAATGTATCAGTATATGAATATATATTAAACAGCGCCGTTCAGCATGGTGCTAGAATATAGGAGTGTTTGCGATGCTCGTTGCAGATCCTATCTGGACCCTACGGCTTTCCTGTTACGTAGGTTCCCAAGACCTTGAATTAGTTCCCATACTTTTTATGTCCTGTTGAACGATATCATACCTTTTCTGATAGATTGTCTTAAATACGAAATCCGAGATATAGAAGCTGGACTGCATCTTGGCCATTTGGGCCCTTCGGTCAAGGCTGCAAATATACTTGAACCACGGTCTATGTACTGTAGGTTAGAGGATTTCAATCAGATGCCGCGCATAAGTTTCAGTATCCATCATGTCAGTTTCGGAAAGTGCTTCGTGGGTGCGCTTCAGCAACTAGATTACACCTAGGCGTCGCAGCAGAGGTTGGCGTTCAACAATGCGCGCAGGTGCAACTTGGACAAGGCGATCTCTCGCCATCGATAGGTGGGCCCGAATGCGTGCGCCCTCTGACTGATTTTCACTTTGAAATCTTGCCCTAGCTTTAATTACGTTTGTTGCAAATACATTGGTAACTGAACTTCATGCATGTCCTAGGAAAATCGGTGTCAAAGTGGAATTGACTAGCCAGCGAGCAATGCCCCCGAGCGAATGTAAAAGGGCCGCAGCGCGGCTTGAGTTCGGCTGGTCGAGGTGGGAGTTGACATCGCCAGCAATGATCAGAAGAAAGGCAGAAGAAGTAGTAGACGCTACAAGTCTACTGACGAGTCCCTCCATCGAGTCAGCCGGCCAAATATAGGCTGCCTCGTAAGGCAACAACGTAATTCTTCACTAGCCACGGCATGAGGTCGCCTAGATTACGATTGAGCAGCCTGGTCCTTTACTCTTCATTACAGAACAGTGCACAGAATTGGGCCAAAAGGGCTAGCTGGCTAAGTTTCTTTTGGCACGACGATGTTTATACTGTCCAGGGTTTCCGAGACAGGAGCATAAAGGGTCGCACACACATAGTTGGTCAGAAAGTTAAGGGCAAAGTAAAGACATAGACCAGTTTCATAATGTATAAAATTAGAGTATAGGACATAACTAGACCAGACAATTGATTCGGGAACTATGAATAATAGCAATATACTGCGTGACACAGTAATTTTACTGTTGAGTAATACTAACCCAGAAAACTAATGAATACAACGAGAGAATGTTTTTAGACTTGTTTTTTTCTGTGCAAGAACCGTGTGAATAAAGTTGCTACCGCTCGAGACTCTATTCGGGTAGACAGTGTGTTTTTAAAAAATGCGTATTTTCCGAACGAATCATTGCAATTCAATAATGAATTCTAAGCAACTTACACGCTGCACACTTTTGAGGGTAAGCGAACCTTCTGGCACTACAACTCCCCCAGCACCGGTAGCGTCAATAAGTCGCTGATAGAAAGGTAGTGCACTTCGGATCTGGTTAGTGTTGGGCTGGCACAGGGGGACAACATGAAGTTTGCAAGGAAATGGGAAAAGGGGCGCCGTGAATATTGGCTGAGTCCGAGGCACGTTACCATCTGTTACCAAAATCACCTAAGAACAAAGTATCGATTATTATGCAGCTTAAAAAGAAGGTCAATCACTATTGGTCACTGAGCAATACTTTCCAATGATTTTATGAGCAAAGACAGAGACACCCATTATTTTCCAGATTTTCAGCTGCACCGTCAAGCTATAATATTCCTCATATGCTACCTTTCTCTAAAGTATTACCGAAATATATATTTTTCACGCCAAAAAAACTGCGTTTATAAGTAAATTTAGTAGGAATCGACAATGTATATAAAAAATTCGATTCTGCTTTGTTTTTCAGTGTACCTGGCAGCTGCACGTCACTCCCCACTCATGCAGAACTGCTTGCTTCGCTCCTTCGATGCCAGCCTCAAACGCTGTTCTATCATAGAACTGAAGCCGGCTCAGCCTCTCTCTAAGTGCATCGAAATCACGCGTGAAAGGTTCAACCACTTCCCATAATGATGAGAAAACTACCTAGAAGGATAAAATAGACGTACATGCACTCGTCAGATAGATGCACCTAATCACTGAAGAGTATAACGGCTGGGACCCAGAGCTGAACATGATCCTACCTGTTAGATAGTAAAGTACAATACATAGCCGTTCATACGATTTACACGTATATCTACTAACTGTTACTCTATCATGTTAATAGTAGTATCGGTAAGATACATCGAAACGATACTTAGCTTTAGCTCAGTATACCCCTGAATCAACAGAAGACTCCAGTCGTAGAAGTACACAAACCATAATAATGAAAAGACGCTTCAAGATATCTCAGAAGCAACATTTCTGGTGTTTTGTAGGGCATTATTAATTTTTCTGAACGAAACGACAACTTCCAGCAATAAGAAATAGATAATCGAATGATACCTTTGCTATACTTACTTCACGAATGTTTTTTTTTTTACTGTCGTGAAAACATAATCAGACTTATATATACGTTCGTTAGAAAAATGTTTTTCACGCCTACACTGTGCGCTTGGCAGCTGATCTTCTCCTATGAAATAATAAGAAAATTATCTAATTCCACGAGAGTAGAAGATTACGAATGTAGTATATTCTTGATTGATCATCACTCACAATTGAGCAGAATTCCAACTTGCAATGTATCGCCATATATTGCAGAAGGTGATTGAGTCCATCCGCAGCTAGATGTCGAAGCTGCATGGGCTCAGGACGATCGGCGAGCTCCACTGGACGACACATCGAGAGTGAGGCATCGATAAGTAATACGGTCGGCATATTGAATCACTTCGTTCAACTCCTAATCACGCCGTATATGGCTAAATCTACCTCAGTTAATCCTATTTAGCCAAGTCCGCTAAATCCGTCGTCTATCTAATCTAATTAACAGAATACTAGCACCAAACATTTTGTGAATCAGAGATATTTTAAAGGCTGCCGGATGATGATCAGTGAATTGATACGCGTACTACACTAGGTCGGATCAACCTGCTTGCACCGAACCCAGAGTTAAGATCATCTGAAAACAAACAGGATGCGACATGATTAGCTGACTAGGTCTACTTCTAGGCTTATATTCAAATAGAAAACACTTCCTGCCCTCTATACATATAGGCCTCGAGCTTACTATAAGATACCTACAAAATGAGTTTAGTTTTCAGTTAATGAGTTCTTTATTTTAAATAAGTACTTTTTGTATACAGATATTTCGAGTTTTATGTCCGCTCCCTCCGTTAAGCATTCTATAATACAGCTGATGTTCCTTAATTTAAGCACGCTATTCACTATGCCATCACCGGAATGTACCTCTTGTAACTACCCAAACTCTGTGATAGTTCTAGTAGTCTGAATCTCCATTCAGATAAGTAGTTAACTTCAACTAGAAAATCCACCTTCGGTGCTACGTTTTTTTTTGTAGTATGTCATGAATCGCCTATAATATTTCGGTTAATTAAAAAGAATTTGTCGCTTTTTATCGATTCTTACCTTTGAAAAACATGGCCACAAACGTGTATATATACGTATAAGGGAAAAAGAATAAAACTCAAATCAATAAAAGAAAAAGAAGAGGAAGAGAGTGTCAATTTGCTGATACGATAAAATAGCTATTGTCCCTCTACGCGTAAAATGTATTCAACTATGAACTTTTTACCACATGCAGGCCCCTCTCTGTGTAGGTCAACAGTTCTCTCGACGGCCGCGGATGACTCAGGCCATCTCATTTCCATTGTTACAGTATTGACCTCTTTATGCGGAAGCGTCAGTCATATCTTTGCAATGTGTTCTCATACTAATAGATACCGATTGTAGTTAAACGTAGTCATCCAAGAAATTTTGCACGTATTTTCGTACCCATAACAATCAATGATTGGCTAAGAAGTTAATAATTAATTGTTATCACTTGAGTAAGTTTCTTCACATGAAAACACTCCCAGAAAAAAGGACGTAACGAATCACAAGACACAAAAGCATGAAGACTATAATCCGACATATTGCGACCTAGCTACCCTCCCGCACTAGAACAATACTTTGAAATGACCTCGATAGTGCCAATGCTCGTCTAATTCGAACCAAAAAATATCTTAAATGGCGATCTTTCTTTGGGAGACGACCGGTTGCTTAGTTTAAATTTATTCATGCTAAGTGAACGACAATACCTCCTTTAGAGCAAACTACAACTTTTTCCAGAGTTAGAAATTCTAATAAAGGATTTAGAAGCATTCCCCTGTTCCTTTTTCTACAAAAGAAGTTAATACGTACAGCGTCAACTACATTTCGATGGACTATTCAATACTGTTTATTCGAATATGCGAAGCGTAAAGCATACGCGTCTGAGAAACTCGGGCATTTTCATCAACCCCAGCAAATATGCAACCCATTACGTACATCTTGTCTCCTATGTTTCTATGGAACATCTCAAGTATTTAGATGGGTTCTTCAAACGACACACGACCTAACTAGCTAGACTGCCTGATCGACGGCAATGGTTGAATCGAGACTGCACTAACAAATGTATGTAGCATATGGGTTTTATTGTAGCCATCGACGCCATTTACACAATTGGCGTTAGAGCGAAACGCCCAACGGTGAGGATACACGGTTCTCGCAGTCGTGTAGGCGGGTAACAATGACGAGTAGAGAGGAGGCACGCAACGCCACCGTTTTTACATTAAGCTCAGTGAGAGTCCGTGGGTGCATCCCTCTGGGGGAGAGTTGAAAGCGAGTATTTTGCATGTTAGAAAGCACACGGACAATGCGGAATATGACCGTCGCTTTACCGCTTAGTATCCATATGGTACTGTCTGCCGTGGACGCTACGACGAACCGTATGCTTGCGTCGGTGGTAAGAACGGTGGGTGGCCTCATTGTGAGCGCCACCCAGAATGAGTGATGGAGAGAGAGAGAGAGAGAGAGAGAGAGAGAGAGACAGGAAAAACGAGAGAGACTGAAAGCTATGCACAAACAGGTAGAGAACGGAGGTCGTTCTATGACCCCGTCTGACCTGGCCACCGACTGGAAGCGCTACTATTGGCTTGCTGCCCAACGCTAAGTACACGCAGCCGCGGTCTCAAAAGATGCTGGCCATTCGTTTCCAACAATTTCCAGTCACTGGCCAGCTGTTGACAAGCGAAACGTTGCAGACGAAATAAATTAGGCTTTTTTTTTAGTAGAGTTTACCATGTACGTAGGCGGCTGTCCACTACCGGCGAGAAATATTAGGCTCGAGTGCTTGTCTCGCAAGATGTATACTGAAGTATGGTAATGAACACACCGAAAATGTGGAAATGAATCAGAAGGGGCTTTTCTTTGTCTGGAAACAAATATGTGTCAGTGTATATGCGGTAGAAAAATAAGCATATATATATATATATATATATATATATATATAGGAATACTTGTATAGGTCCCATTGGAGCGCCTTAACTGTTTTAACAGTTTTTGTGGGTTGCGAAAAGGTGGCTAATTTGTTGTCGGCTAATGGAAGGCGCTAGCGTATCTGTTAGCTAAAGCAATGCTTGGTGCTCGCGAGCATCGGCATAATGGGTAGTTATTGGAGACGCATTATTCTATCTACTATATTATGAACAATCGATGAAAATCTTCACTAGTTGTTGATTGATAAATTCTATGAATAAACAGCCACTGCAAAACGTATCTGATAACGACGTATTAGCCGCGTGTTACGTAAAACCGTCCAAAGGTTAGTCTTCACGTCATCGTGTTGCCATGTTTAAAAGAGCAACAACAAGCATAATCATACCTGCGACGCATTGTCTTAGATACGTAACGTATGTAACAGTGCCTAAATCTGCACAGTTCTGGAAAAAACTGTGTATATGTTCAAGACGCCAACCGTCAGAACATAAGGAGATTCTCCAAAAAGGTAGTTCGTCCTGCAAACAACATGGTGAACGCCTGACTTCTTTAAAGTCCGTGATTTGATTCAAATCCAGTTTGACACATAGGATATTGCGAATTGTTTCACACACAGTTTGTAGTTGGCTAACACCTTTTACAGTATCAAAAGTAACTAGATTTTAAAACAGTTACTTTTGTTAAGTCATTGCATGAAATTCTTGACTGAATCGTTCCGTGCCCGTCCTACACTCAATAGTAACTCGAGATAAATACAATCAAATATATGAAAGCCCAAAGTGAAGTATATTTCCACCTTTCCTTCAGTTATCTCTATAGAGACTCCGTCGTCCACCAGATTTATTTTTTATTCTTATGATACTAAACAGCTAAGTCGCACACTGCTCATATTTATTTGGAGGCTCATAGACATACACACTGTACATGTCCACACAAGTCACTGTTAGCTGAAGTATGGGAAGCTAGCACGTAAATTCATCCCTTACTGCCACCCTGTCATCTCTATCTGTCTGTTTTAGCTCTGAATATTTCTCTGCTGTATCTATGCGCCGGATCGTTGACCATACCGGAAATCTGTCACTGAGCTCTGTCACGACTTCACCCGCAATCAGTTTACGCCCTCACAGGTGGTGGCCGTAGAACATTGAGATGAAACGAACCGAACCACAGGAACGCAGAATCTTAAGAACGGTCGATTCTAACACTTTTAGATCATATACCTCAAGTGCTTTGCTGTGACCTCATGACCGTATAATAACGTTCTTGTGCTCCCCAACTTTGAGACAGCCGCACCATCTGGTGCTGCTGTGAAAATTGATTCGTGAGACCAGGGGAAAATGCTCCCGGCTTACCACTGAAAACAGCTTAGTGGCAGTGGTCTCTGACCGAGCATTGGTTGTGGATAGCCCCCCCACGATATTTGTGATGGCCATTTCCTTTACATGATGCGCCTATCTAAGGTGTCCAGCAAGACGAGACTTAGTCTGTAGCGATAAACCCATCCTGCCGAAATCGCTTTCTTGAACTTGCCCGCCAGCTTTGTCGAACAAAAGATATACAGTGGGCATGTTTCGTCCGAATCGCTGCCGGGCAACCGAATAAGAAGCAGTAACGGACCCACTAACCCCGATTAAAAGTTCGGTCAGAGGGCCGCGTAGGGTGGAACGATAGTTACAGCGTCGATTCTAGCCTGATTTCCATTGCAAGGAACTAGGGCGACACAGCGGGCTCCTTAGATCGCTGACTGCTTGTCAACGAAGCTTTTCGTTGACAAAGTTGCTCACACAATGTATATGCGATTATGTGACAACGAACCAGATGCATAACGAGGAATTGCAATCAGGCATGGAGCCTTACGTTTTTATTTTTCCACCTTATAGGAAACCCTTACCTCCCAAGCAGCACTTAGCAAATATCTCGAAATCGACTGTGAAATAGGCTCATACTGAGGTGTATTCAGTGAATGTATAGGAACATTTTTAAATCTTTTTTTTTTTTGCTTTAAAAGTACAAAAAGCTTCTTGCATGATATTTTGAAGAGGGAACTAACACACACAGTGCAATAAGTGTACACTATTAGTGATTGTCTTGTTTGTATTTTCTAGCGGTTTTTTAATAGCGACGCAACGATTGTAAACTGGCAAAGCAATAGATAGTTTTCCATCATCCTATAACTGTAGCCGTAGATTATTTGGCATGACACACAAATAACCTAAAAAATAATATGTAGATATACATTGTCCAGCTTTGCCAAGACTTCCACAAAGGGCAATGTTATGACCGGCTTTACTATACCTACGCATGGTCCATAGCACGTCTAGCTCTCGTTCTCTGCGGATCGAGGAATTGGTCTTCTGACACACATGACCACCCTTAGGGTATGCAAACTCTTAAGACACCCAAGACCACCCTTTCCATTAAACCAGGATACCCACCGCTGCCGAGTGCACTCACTCAAACTGGGAACGCACGCATACGCAACCATATCTTAGTCCGGAGATATTATTAACTGAAGTTTATTAGGTCATTCTATGATATGATAGAGAAAATGACTGAAGATATTCTATTTTATATATAACGTTGCATGTACACCGATTCTATATAAGAGACAAATGGAAACTTTTATAAAACCTGTAACCACCTTTTGAAAAAAGCCATGTTTAAATACGAGCAGGATTCAAGACATATGCACTATTTAATTCGATTTTTACAAATGTATTGATATACCTCAGACGAAGAGACGGATCATTTGAACACACATGTCTGGAAGATTTAGTATTAAAAGTGAGAAACGTTTCGAAGGATGGATCTTACAGGTACAGATTAACACGCTACCGTAAACAATGTGCGTATCGGTAGCCAATTCAGCTGGGACGGACAACTGAAATGTATTGATGCCTGAGTTTATAGTTAAACTCGTACATAATACGATAGACGGGGGAAATAACTCATGGAATGAATATTGCCTTAGCGCCCGTTAGCCCAAACGAAAGATCAATAACTGTTGCTGGGACTTTTTCAATCAATCAACAACACCTGTAACATGTCAAAGGGTGCTGGTTTCTCTAGGAAAGTCCGCATAAATTTATGCTACATTTATTAAATCGAATAGCCATCTGCGGTTCGTTGTAAAGAGAGGGGTGGATTTGTTCTAATTAGCAGGTTATAGATTAACTTGAAATTTCGGCACGGATAACAAAGTTTTTCTTAACATTAGACGCAGACCCGTAAATTTAGTTGTACGTCAAAATAAACCCATATTAACTTGGCCCATGAGGTAAACAAACAGCTAATTTTTCTAAAACTTTTTTTCTAAACTTGACTTGAAGCATTGACTTCTGGAAGACAAGAATAGCTATTATAATTTGATAGAGATTTTAGTCATCGAACACGTTCTGCCCTAAGAAGTTTTTTTATGCCTGTCATTATTTCCCTTTCTCAGTAAATAGGTTTTAAGCCCAAGCGCTACCCTTTAGCCTTGCTGACGTCAAAGTTAACAACGACTATGCAAG